TATAAGAAATTATAGATCGCTAAGATCGCTAAGAAATTAGAGAAATGATAGAAATTATAGAAATTAGAGAAAGTTGAAATCCATGATTGATGGGATCATCATTCGCTAATTGTAATTGGCACAGTATTAATGCATCATAACTAGACTATTACTAACACTGTTGAATCGACTGATATTATTTGAACTGCAGGAAATTTTCATAATTATGAGTGGTTTAGCAACGTAGTTATTTCTTCTGAAGAAAATGATTGGTATGAAAAGGTATTGTATATCGATATATATTTTATGAATTTTATTAACTTCTAATATCATTAACTTAATTTTTTAGGCACTTTTATTATTGGAATTTTTCGCTGAAAAAAGATAAAGATCCAATAAATCTCACTTTATTACGATGGTATGATGATGTCGATAAAGAAATGTATGGATATCCAAGACTTTGGTTAACTGATTAATATACATGCGTCTATTTAGATTCAATAGATATGGCAGTTCATATTATACCAAGAAGAAATTGTAAAAATGAATATTTCGTTAATAGGTATATTTTTTAAAACATACAGTATATAATAAATAATCGCATCGCAAATTATTATTGTGATATTATTCAATAATTAGCATATCGTTAACTAACCATGTGATAATATTTGATAATTAACCGCATCGCAAATTATTGATGTGACAATCATCAATAATTAATAGTATCGCAAATTAACCTCATGATTATTTTTGTTTAAGATAAATATCGTTATAATATCGCAGATATATATCAATATTTATTTTAATATATTGATAATCGATATTTAAATTATGATAAACAACAATGAAGAGATATATATCTCTATATATCCCCCAAAAAAATTCTTGATAAAGCCATCAAAAGAAATTCAAAGAGGTTGTCAATACAGCAACATAATTTCTAAATGCCCTTCGATCCCAACTTCCAAATAAAATTTAAAAACTAACAACCCTCCTAAGAAGGAAAATGAGTACAAATAGAAATTATTAAAAAAGGCAACACAACTCTATAAAAACCTAAATGTTCAGTTAATTCTAGATAATTGACCACCTAACCAAAGAAAGTGCGTCCAAAAAAAAGTTTAAACAGAAGATCTTCATACTTATAGATTCACAAGTACAGAAAAAATATCACGCAGAATCCACTACAAGAACCCTACAATGAATCAACAGATAGTAACTTATACCTTCTATCTGGTTACCAGGAAGGAATGGATCTAGACGAAGCGGACTTACACCAAGTAAGGATCTTGACAACAAAAGAAAACTGTGATTCTATTTCAAACTCATAAAAACTAACAAAAATACCAGACTAAGTGGTAGCTACCATCACACCATATAGAAGACCTTATGGAGAAACAAAGTAATAATTCATGCTAAATTTGCATGTGATCTTTGATGACAGAGGATCTGCAGAAAGGCAGAGGCCAATCAAAAGAGAGTATATTGTTTAGAAAGAGGAAAGGTGTCATCACGTAAGATTTATTTATCCAAAGTATATCGATCATTAGGGTTCCTTAAAATCAAATCAAATCAAATATTGAAGCAATTTGAATTTGATTTGATTTTTAATCAAATTCAAATTTGATCAAATCAAATCAAATCAAATCAAATTAAATCAAATATAAATTTTTTTTTAATTATTATAATAATATATTAAAATAAAGTTTTAATTAAGAAAATCATTAGTAATTGCACTAAAAAATTTCAAAGATAGCTTTTATAAAGTAAGTTAGTAATAGGTGCATTTATATTAAGAAAAACATAGTAAAAAAATGCTTTTGCGGCTTCGAAAATGCTTTTTTTTACTATGTTTTACTTAGTAAAAAAGCATTTCGAAGCTGCAAAAGCATTTTTTACTATGTTTTTCTTAATAAAAAAAGCATTTCCAAAGCCGTAGAGGCGTTTTCTACTATGTTTTACTTAGTAAAAAAAGCATTTTCGAAGCCACGGAAGCATTTTTTACTATGTTTTTCTTAGTTAATACCATCTATGAAGCTTTGAAAATAGTTTTACTATTGATTCAAATCAAATCAAATATTTGAATAATTGATTTGAATTTGATTGAATTCAATCAAATATAAATTTGTATTTGTATTTGATTTGATTTTCAAATTAAATATTTAAATATCAAATCAAATTGCGGAACCCTATCGATCATGATCGTCGGTGGTGATACCCCTTGATGCCTACTTTTTAGTAGGCAAAAAAGAAAACAGAAAAACAGAAAAAAAATTTTCAAAAAGAGGTGAAAAAAAAATATTTTAACAAAAAATAACACTGTTTAGACTATTTCAAAAAATTTTATGTGGATAGGGGTGTAAGAAACAAAGAGAGGAATATTTTTGAAAGGTGGGTTTTTTTGTTTGTTTGCAAGCTAAACCATGGTTGCTATTGAACAAGCACTTTTTTAAGTAAAAATTCTTGGAAAAAATCCAACGAAGAAGAGTGAGAAGGAATTAAATAAGGAATTAAATGGTAGTTGTTTCATACGAATCAGAGCGATATTGACCAAGATCATACACTTTTGTTTTTTTTTGTTTTTTTCTATATATAAAAAATCATGTGATATGACGTCATTTTAACTATTTCAACTTTTCATTTCGACTTTGACCTCCAAAGTTGAAACATTTTGACTTTTGGGTTTTCATTTCGACTTTATATATAATCCAACCCTAGTCAATAATTCTCTCTCAAACGATTCTGCTTTCAATGAAAAATAGTTATTCCTCTTCAAATGACTTTGTTTCTGTTCAAAATCACTCCTTCACTTTAACACATTCTCCATTTATATTACAGACCAAATGATCAATTAACAAGAAAAACAAATTTCAACCTTACAAGATAACTTTAGCGATGCCAAATATAATCTTAAACTTATAAAAGATGCTATGATGCAATTTCTACAAATATACTCTAATACTACTTAATGAATACTACATAACAAACAAATATATCTCTCTTTCACAAATTAAGTGAAGATATTAATAATTTTAAAATAGCAACTCATTACGTTAGAAATTGTATTTCAAATGAAAAAAGAAATCAAATTGAACAATTTTTTTCACTTCATAACTTTAACATTCTCGGTCTTTTAGAAACTCATTTAACTATGCAATAATCATATTCTATTTGTAATAATTTCAAGTCACCTGATCTTTCTTTTAAATATTTTTTATTGAATGAAAATCGCTTACAAAATTGCCAAGGTATAGGTTTTATTATCAAATCCTCTATTTCAAAACATATTTTAATTATTAAGGCTTTTATGATAAAATCATTTTCATAGATTTTCAAATGAAAAACAAATAAAAATTAAAAATCATTCAAATCTATCTTACTGCTAATACACATACTGCTTCTGATAATCAATATAGATTAAAAATTCAACAAAAAATTCTAGATCTTATATTAAAAGCCAAATCAAAAAATTATCATCATATTGTTATGAGTAATTTTAATATTAATATAAAATGAAAATATTCTTCAGCTAGATAAAAAAGATGCTAATACTTTCTTATGCAACTTAAAAATCTAAGCTTAATGAACAATTTAAAACTTTTTAACCACTAATATCTATCTTTACCTCTTCTTTTGATTATTTTTTTCCTCCTTTTTCCTCACACACAATCTTACCTTTTCAACTTCGTTAAATACTTACTCATATAATTATGAATCTGATCACACTTCATTAGTTTTTTTCTTTTACAAAAATAATATATTTCATCAAAAATCTAACGTCTTACTTAAACAGAAAAAATTGATTAAAACCAAATTTCTGTATGACAAAACATCTAAAGAAACATGGAACAAATTTTTAACAAAACTAGATAATCTTATTTCTTATGATCCCATACTACGTTCTTTCAATTTAGAATCTCAAACTTTCTCTCATAATGATCTCAACTCTATTTAGGATTCTTTTAGCTATATGATCATTCAAGCAGCCAAAATACTCTTGCTAAAATACTACTACCAATCAAAGATCTACTGACTTCCTTTACAATCACTAACCTTTTTACAACTCTCTTAACAAAATCAACAAATTTTATCATCAATGTTACAAAAACTTCAATCAAAATATACATTTTAATATAATCAATTATAACAAATATATTATTATTATTAATATTTTAATTAATCAACAAACTCCTACTCAAGATATTCAAATAACTTATGATTAAGGTTGCTTGTCTAAACTCATTTTGGATTTGACAAAATGGTAAAACCTTTAGTTTTGCTAAATTTTTACTAAG